AATACTTCAATCTAAAGGATTTAAATCTAATGTATCTAAAGGATTCAGCTAGGGAGAATTAAACAATTGAAATTTGAGATTATTTTAAGTTTAAAATTGCATACCAGCACTTTCAGCTATGATTTGCTTTTACAATATTTTTTTAACAATATCTTTACAATATTTTTGAGCTTTTTAAATTGAAGTGAGTTTTAAATTGAACAAGTAGTTCAAGTTGAAACTTAGTTTTCTAAATCAACTCTTCATTTGGATCTGTGGATGGCTCTGGACACTGACGGCAATCTACAGCAAAAAATTGAGTCTGCAATTCTTAGAATACTTAGCCTTTCTTTTAGATACTGTATATTTTGTGAAAAAGATTACCAGTGTAATTGCCGGGTGGTGGTGATGGTTTTGCGGTGGAATTCATGAAAACTGAAGGCGATCCTGTTGGGGGAGGGCCTGGAAAAGGAGAGAGTTTCACAGAAATTTGAACGCTTTCAGGGAAACTTCAAGTTTCAATTTAAAACGATCACTTTTTTGGGTGGAATACTTCAAGCATTATGTATCTAAAGGATTCAGCTAGGGAAAATCGAAAAATTGAACTCCTTGAGATCATTTTAAGTTTAAAATTGCATACCAGCACTTTCAGCTGTGATACTGCATAGAGTTTTAACCTATAAGAGTTTTAACCTATAAGTGTTTTAACCTATAAGAGCTATAACTTTTGGCTTTTAACTAACTAACTAGCTAACTAACTATGGATAACTTTAACTTTAACTTTAACTACGTTTCAAGGCAAATCAAATGGCATCACATTGTTTAAAATCATTGTTGAAATTCAGAATGTTCTCTAAGTCGATGTAGAATTTACCTGTATAATTGTTCTTGTTCGGTGATGGTGGAATGTCAGTGGCATTCCATGATGGTGGAATTGTTGGTGGAGGACCGGTGTAGTTGTTGTAATGGAAGGGAGACATTCCTGGTGATTGGTAGAGCGGTCGTTGTGGTGATGGTGTTTTTGAGGGAACAGTTGGTGATGTGATCGCTGAAAAAGCATCAGCTTTCATAGCTATGGCTTTAAGCTTTAATCAGCTTTAATAGCCTGATAAAGGGCCTTGTATCTTGGTCGGAAGTTCAATCCTGCCGGCCAGACTATTAGTTCTTTTTTCCATATCTATGAGACTTAGGTTGCAGTAAAATTGAGCAATAATCAGAGCAAAGCCAAGCAATCTTTAATGACTCTAAAGTTTGGTTTGACGTTTCTAAAGCGTTTCTAACGACGGGACGCTTCTAAAGTTCGATCGCATCGTTTTGTGAAAATTCGTAAATTTGGCATTTCTTGAAAACCAGTTTTTGAATCGTTCTGAAAATTTGGATATAAGCTTAATTTTTGATTTTTTTGAAGTTTGTTTCAACCCGTTTTTTTTGAATTCTTGATCATTTTGAAGGTTGATGAGGCAATTTTTCACAATTTTATTTAAAAATGGATGAGAGATGATGCAAAAAAGAAGTGGAAATCTGTTAAAGTGAAAAAATATGAAAAAGCTTGAAAGTTTGAAGATTAAAGCTTGAAGCTTGAAGCTTGCTTGAGTTAACTTGAAACTCAAACTTTTGAGAACTTCTCTAAAACGTGTCCTCTTTCTCTTTCTACTGTAAACTTGTCTTCGTTCTTTAAAATGAGACTTGGCCTCGTTTTTTCACCAATCTATCCATTTTCTTCATCTGATTCTGTTACAAAGGATATTTAAAAGAAAAAAAGTGAATAGATTGAAAAAAGACTAAATCTAAGTCAAAAGAAGTCAAAAAAACCAGAAGAAGCCAGAAAAACCCAGAAAATTCCTCGAGAAAACCCTAGTGAATTCAATTTTCACAAGAATTGCACACTAAACCAGAAATTGAGCCTTAAAAAGAACTTGATAAACCAGAAATCTGATTCATCAGTTCTTTTGAATAATCGTGTTTCAAAATCTGGGTAAGAAGAGGATTTCTCATTGAACAATATTTTGTTGATGTCAAAAGGACCATTGAAGTTAATTTGTAATGAAATATTAAGCATTTTGTTATTTTTGTTTTGCTTCTTTATTCAGAACCAGTCTAAAAGGGATTTTTCTGGCCGAATTATTTTATCGCCGTGGCGCAACGAGAGCGTGCTTGTCTACAGCCTATACGATCCGGTTTCGACCGTTCGACCGCCCATAGTGCCACCAACTTCAACTTTTTAATTTTTTAGTTTAAATGGTAGAAATATGTTATATTTTAAGACTTTTAAAAAGATTTCAGTTTTTTTGGCTCAAAGACGGTTGAGAAAAAGTCCCTGCAGACGGACAGACACGGCTCTTTTATATACAGAATTACCGCAACACACAAAAGGTCTGGCTTTTAACCAAATATGCAATCCATCTCGAAAAGTTAACTTAAATATCTTTATTCAACATATAACAGTAACAAATTAACAATTAAATTCAAATTTGCCTCCATCGGCTTTCAGACAAGCCTGCAAAAGTTTGGGAAACGCGTGGCGAGCAAATAAGCATCATCTATCCCATGCTTTGATGAGCGCCTTCTTCAAACTTTCGATATTTTTATGTGGTTTTGCACATGCCCTGGCTTCAAGAACACTCCAGTCTGAGTAATCCAATGGGTTAAGATCGGGTGAGCTGGTGGCCACCAGAAAACGAGGTGAAGTCCGGGAAGTCCGGGAATCGCTTGCCCTTCGCAGCCGCTGATAGTAATTGAGATTTGTTCTTCTTGGACGGCTTCATTTTCAGCTTTTTCTTGATGATTGTGTTGATGGAGACCTCTTCAGACCCATTTTCTGTGTCATTCCTCGAGCCGATTGGTTAGGGTTTAATCTTAGACGATCGCACACTTTCTTGACATTAGCCGGAGTAACCGCTGTTCGTTTTGCACCTCTTCCAGGGCGATCAGATCCCTGATCGACGGGAAACTGTGCCCAGAGTTTCATAACGTTGAATGGTTCGAGAAACGAGGCTTCTGGGGACATTCAGGCGCTTTGAGATCTCGCTCGCCTGAACACGCTGCCGCTTGAGCTCAAGGATCGATTGTCGATGTGGAGACGCTTTCATCATTTCTAAAAACAACCATGCTAATGTATTGAAAGTTAGTAGTCATACCATAAAATAAGAAAAATACACAAAAACCATAAAAACAGGTAAGCAAAAAGTGAAATGGGCTCATAACATCATACGACCTTTGTTGCGGTAAACTTGGTCACCCTGTATTAGGTTGTCTGCAAGCTTCTCCTCAACAAGCCTCTCCTCAACAAGCTCTCCTCCGCAAGCCTCTCCTCCGCAAGCTTCTCCTCCGCAAGCCTCTCCTCCGCAAGCCTCTCCTCCGCAAGCTCGAATAGTCGTACGTGGATTTGCTTCCACCAGGGTCTTCAGTTCGTCGTCACCGAGTTCAACAGGACGGCCACGGCCTTCTCTATCTTCGAGATCAAAATCACCAGCTCGGAATTTTCGGAGCCAAGTTCGCACTGTTGACTCGCCGACACTGCCTTGACCTCAAACTTTGTTAATGTTACGAGCCGTTTTAGCTGCATTGCGACCGAGTTTGAACTCATAAAAAAAGCTGGTTTCGACATTTAAAACGGCAAAGCTTAAAATTCGCAAAAATCTTATTCTCAACAAAATTTAAAAGTATGGTTAGAAGAGAGCACGAAATCAGCTTTCACTGGTATATAAAGCAGCTTTCTAATTGTACATAACATTACAAGGTACAGAGCATACATACATAGCATTGAGAAAAATGTACCCAAACAATAAACAATACAAAAACGCTCATTTATTTCCTGATTTGTTAGCCTTTAAATCACTTGCAATAAGTATTACCTTGTAGTTTTCGAAATTTGAATTACTTTTTTGTAAAATTGAGACGTACAAATATTTGTGTTACCTTTAATTTATCATTTTTACTCTCAAAAGCTAGCAAAATTGGTAAATTGAGAAAAAAAAAAGATCAGTTTCAACTTGATTCAATTTAAGCTATTAGGTTGGTGAATTGAAAACTACGATTTGAACTAAAATTTATTCAACATAAAACCATCAATTCATTCCAAATTTCCAATAATTTCCATTATCAATTGACGACTTCTGCTCATTTTACAAGAAATTTGCGATTCCTCTTCGTAGTAGGATTTCGGTTTTGAATCGAAAACCTTTTCGAACAAATTTTTGACTGCTTCTTCCGAATCGAAGTGTTCTCCCGCAAGCTCATGATCCGGAATAAATAGTAATCAAAAGGGGCAAGGTCCGGACTGTACGGGGGATGTGCCAAAAGTTCCCAAACAAGGCTGTTTATTTTAGAGCGAGTCAGTTTTGCAGGGCGCGTTGTCGTGGAGGAGAACGACCTTTGACTTGAAGGGCCTATTCTTCTTTAGGGATTCATTCACCTTTCCCAACTGTTCACTGTAAAACCCTGAATTCATTCCAAATGATTTCCATTCTTATTGACGACTTCTGCCCATTTTACAGGCAATTTGCGGATTCCTCTTTCGTAGTTTTGGCTTGTGTGTGAGACAAGTGTGAGAGTCAAAAAATCGAGGACTGGAGATGTCTCAGTTTGAGCATTTGAGCAATTTCTTCAAAAGAAACCCATTTTGGTCTCAATAGAAAGTTGTAGAGAATTAAAATTAGGCTTATACCCAAATTTCCAAAAAGATCCACTTAGTAGTTTCGCTTAAAATGCAAGTTTTGTGAAAATTCGTAAATTTGGCATTTCTTGAAAACCAGTTTTTGAATCGTTCTGAAAATTTGGATATAAGCTTAATTTTTGATTCTCTACAACTTTTCCATTGACACCAAAATGGGATTCTTTTGAAGAAAGTGCTCAAACTGTCACATATGGCAATAGCCGGCAGTTTTCAATTCACCAACCCAATATTTCCTTGTAATTCTTCAGCAATCCCTGCTCGCCAATTGCTATTAAAATATCACAGTTTATTATTTGTGCAATGTTTCTTTAAAGCTAATATTTCAATGCATAGCTTTTTCTTTTCAATAATACATCGAGTGCGGCTGGTCCACGTCGGGCCGACGTTCATCGTGGAAACCTGAAATTTCAGAATAGCACAAGAATGAGAGGTGAAAATGTTTGATTCTAAAGTTTTCTAAAGAAAGTTTAGATTTTTCTCATCAGGGTCACGCAATTTGTACTTGTTTAGGCATTCAATTGAATGCTTTTAAATCTCAAATCAAACAATTTACCCCAGTATTGGCCGGTTGAACGGGTTGTGGCGGTAGATCGGCGTGAGCTGCTTTGTAGCCTAAAGAATAATGATTTCAAGAAAGGATTTGAATAAATCTCTTAAGTTTTCAGTTAAATTTCAACTCAATGAATAGAATTCTTGGATTAAAGAAGGTTAAAAGCTAAAATTTAAAATCCTACCAATCAGTTTCAAAATTTTCAAGGATTAGTCAAAATTTGACAAATTTGCCATCATTGACACTTTTTTTCTTTTATTCTTAAAGGTTTAATCTTAAATTTATCAATTAATCAATTTTCAAATGAAAAATGAAACCATGTGCTTGATTTGCATAGGGATTCGTGGTGGGATTTGTTGATGAGCTGCCTCTGAATAAACGCTCATGTCGCTCCGAAGATCTGAGCGGAAAGATTAGTCAAGTACTTTATGAATGGTTATTGTATCAATCATAGAGTTTAAAATCGTACTTTAATCATTTTGAAAATGCTCCAAAAGAGTTAGACTCACTGACTCTTTTGAAGCATTCTTTGCTCTTTGAGCTACACTACTGGACAATGAAATATCATATTTGAAAACGATCGTCACTTTCTGCGCGTCTGTACTCCCCGGTCTTTACCGCATTTCTAAATATTAGTATTACCATTGTGTAGCCGCTGAAAAGAGCTTTCAGAAAATGTATAACACTAATAGTTTAAACTCAAAGACAAGGAAGTTACAGACGCTCGAAGAAGATCTTTTTCAAATATGATATTTCATTGTCCAGTACTGTAACTCTTTGAGCAAAGTGCCTTTAGAGTTTGGGAATCGTTTTTAAGTCGAGATTTTTGAATTTTCAGCTTCAATTTGGGTCCTGAGCTTCAATTTGGAGAGTTTCCTGTAAGGATCTAAAGCTTTAATAAAACTTTTATGAGCATATGAGCTTTTAATAACTTTTTAATATACTTAACATTGAAAGGAATAAATTTGCTAAAGAGTAAACGAAGAAAACTCATTGGCTTGTTCTAAATTTCGTAAAAGAAACGAAGAACAAAATTCGAGTTTCAAGTTTTTTCAAGTTCAAGCAAGTTTTCCTCATTTTACACCGGCTCAACAACTTTTGTTTTGAATTTTTTAAATTTTAATTCTTTTTAATCTTAATTCTTTAATCTTTAATTCTTTTAATCCTTACAATGCTATGATGACCAGCGAAGCAATCAGCACGCCGGCGATCCAAATCGGCCAACCAATCCCTAAAAAGACGATTTGATTGATTTTGATTGATTTTGATTAGTTGGGTGCAAATTTGTCCGTAAATCTGTCTGTTAATCGGCAATTTGTCTGTAAACCTGTAAATTTGTCTGTTAATCGGTAAATTTGCCCGTAAATCTGTAAATTTGTTCGCAGATTTGTGTGTTTCAACCTAGTCAACCTGTTCAAACGTGACCAAGTCTAGAGTGTGTTTCCTCGACTAATGCGTTTTCGAAAATGCAGTTATTTGAGAAAAGTAACGTAGTCGAACCGTTAGTTTTCATCAGGATCAAACGAATTTTTAAATCATTGGCTGAGCCTTGTGAATGAGGATGAAAAACAAAGCATCAAATGATACCAAAATTGAGCTGATCGGATGTAAACCGGCCATTTGACTACGATGATTTCTTAAATAGTTTGACTACGGTGGTTTTCTAAATAGTTTGGCTACGGTAGTTTTCAAATTAGAAAACGCGTTAGTTGAAAGGAACACACTCTAACCAAGACTTTGACTGTCTTTTTCACTAACTTGATCCAAGCGATGCGAGAGTCGATTGCCCGGCTAAAAAAAGTAAAATTCAAGAAGATTTTGGAAAAACGGAAAAACCTGTAGTCGATGGACCGGTGTAGGGAAGGTTGAGGCTGAATTTGAAATAAACCCCAATTCTAATGGTATTAAAGTTTAAAATGTTGAGTTTATAAGGAAAAACTTGTAAAGTCTCAAAAATTTCACCCTCAGTTGTTGAAGATCCAGGAGTAGGGGGTTGTTGAGGCTGAATTGTTCATCAGTGATTAGATTTCAATTGTTCATCATTGTTCATTTCATTGTTCATTTCATTTTTAGATTTCATGCTTCATGAGTGATTAGATTTCAATAATTCAAGAATTAGTTCATCCATTTCAAACTTACTTCTCTTATTCATTTCCCTAAACTGCCTACATAGGGAGCTTTTCACCGAGGCCCATCACCTAGTGCCATGGCCGACTGGCTAAGAGCCTTGTGTCTCAGTCAATCAAGGGTCAATGGGGCCAAAGGTCCGATCCCGCCGGCTAAATTCTTTGTAACAATTCGTCTTATTTTGGCAAAATTTCAATGTTCAATGGATAAAATAATCGTAGTTTTGGCAATCAAAGTCTAAAAGTAACTCATGAAGTGCCTTAAAAGCAAAGCAAAGCAAAGCAAGGCAAAGCAAAGCAAAGCAAAGCAAAGCAAAGCAAAGAAAGCCATTTGTTCGTTTAAAGCGCAAAAACGCCATTAAATTACTGAAAAACTTTCCAAACTCACATGCAGTAGTGCTCGAGCCAGTGTAGGGCGTTGTAGAGGCTAAATACATATTTTCAGATATAGAAATGGATTTTGGAAATGGATATAGATTTATTCGAGTATCGAGCTTTTAAAAAAGGTTTTTGTAAGTAATTACTCGAGTAAAATTTGTACGAGTAATTTTTACTCGACTAATCGACGTTTTTCGTCGACTAACTACGAGTAATCCTCTTTACATCTCGGGTAAATTGAATATCTTTACTTTTGAAGGGAATTTGCCACCAAATCCATTTAAACGGCTGAATATCTTTAACAGAGTCGCTCGTCATTTTTTTGCGTCAATTTTTTGCAATAATTTTCTAAAACCGTACGGTAATTTTTCCTAAGTGTGCGTTTTAAAAAAGCGCATTACTCATGAGGAAAACACTCTAGTTTTTGTAGTATTTAGACAGATGAGCAACTTTCCAACCTGAATAAAATCAATTTTTCAAAATAATCGACATTAAACATGGATTTGAGGCTTTAATCCAAGCGTTTTTTCTTCTTTTTTTTAAATTACAAGAAAACAGAAAGGATTTTACCGGAAAACTCTCAATCTAATCTAAATTATCGAATGATTTAAACGCTATAAACAAGAAAAAAAATTGAAAACCCTTTAATCTAAAGCTTTTGTAAACTTTATGTTTCAAAGTTTTCGATATTCGAACTCTTTTCGAGTATTATGTTGCTGATTTCTCAAAACTCACATCCAGTTGTCGGGGAATCTAAAGGGAATTTCTCAATTGAATTATGAACTTTTGAAACCTGTGCTCGTTGATGGGCCAGTGTACGAAGTGGTGGTGACTGTCGCTGAAAAATGCTTTGTTTCAAAAAGAGCGGAACGAACAAAGCTGGAACTCGTAATTAAAAAAAAATAGTAACATAGGTACTTTTAACTATTTTGCACGACATGCGAAATTTACATTGAGGGAAGCTAAAGATTAGGATGGACAGAGCAATAGTGAATCGATGGTGAAATGGAATATGATTACAAAAGGTGAAGAATCAATGGACTGAGTCCAAACAACCATCATTTACTGTGGCCTCTCCAATATTAGTGCACCTTGAGCTTGCCTTAAATTACTCGGAATCTCGAAAAGCGCTTATCAGAACCTATCGATATGGGGTCGGAAAATGTAGCTGACGATGAGATCTTGTGGGGGAGTAGAGTGTTGAGCTTCGTGAAAACTCTGAAAGCAGTAAAATAGTCATCAACTCGGCTCGGCCCGGTGCACTACTATTAGAGAGCGCTACTATTAGAGATTCACAAGCGACTTGGATGTAAGAAAGAAAAGTGAAGAGTTTAACACTTAATTTCTTTCGAGAAATCAGTGGAAGTGAGAAAACAAAATGTTCGGGGATTTCAATGTTGTGCTTCTTGGTGATTTGCTTCAACTGCCAGCGGTCCGAGTAAATACGGTAAATGAAAAGCGAATAAAAAATACGGTTTGTGGCGAGCAAAATAGTCAAAGGTATCATAAAATATGATTTTCTCTCATGAAAAATCTAATGTTTTTGTTTCTTCTCAAATTTCACTCACTTCCCGTTGTCGTCGATCCAGTGAAAGAAGTCGCGGAGACAGTGGCTGAAATTTTGTGTGTTTCCAAGTGAAGTAACTTAAATAAGGAAGGCTTTAGATTAATTGATGAATCACTCTCAATTTTAAACTCGTTGCTGGAAAACGGTGGCTAAATTCTCGCGTTTCAAAAAATGCTTTAAATTAAAGCGAGCATCGATTTCTATTTTAAAAATTTTTTATTTTAACTTTCCGCTCTTCCGATCGTTAATATATCTTATTATCGGCCTAGAAATTGGCCTATATATTGGCCCATATTGTCTAATTGTAGTTGTGTTTGTATATCAATTATCTTCTTCGTCTACGCTGTTCAATCTGTTTGCATTGTCACTTTTCCCTTGTCGGATAAAGTATATATATATATTGGCCTTAATAAAGCCTTATCTCTTTGTGAAATACTAAATTAATCATTTAAAATGAAACCAATCATCAAAATCAAGCACTCACAAGCAGTTGTCGACGAGCCCGTGTAACTCGTAGTGCTGACGGTGGCTTAAATTATTGATGTTTCAAAGTGAATAAGGTTTAATATGAAAAGATTGGGGCTAATGGGTACTTATTGGTTATCTCCCTTGCCACAAGAAAAAAATAAATCAACCATTCAACGGACTGAAATTTTCCTCACCCACCTTTTCACTAATGCTCGGCTGCGCTTCGCTCGTGCATTTAAATGCTAATTTCGCTCATATGCTAATTTGATTTCTGGTTTGCTTGTTTAGATTGTTTCAGAAAATCTAGAAAGTTTTCTTTGAAAGAAAGAAAGTCTTTCTTCTATAAACAATTGCTATCGTTTTAATTGAGTTACTTGAGTTGCTTTTGCAAATTTTATTGCTTAATACTATCTATGAAGTTATGGGAGTCTCATTCCGAAAAACAGATGCTATCTGTAAATTGATAAATGCGAATTTTTAAGTCTGGGAGATAACGCATAAGTATTGGCTAATGCTTAGGGGTAATTTAAATCGCTTTGCTAATTTTATTGCTTAATACTACCTTCCGTAAATACTGAAATAGTACCCCAAGCCCATAATGACGGTGCGGAGTGTTGCGTAGTCTAGCTTTGAACGAGTTTTTCTCGACACTGGTTTATGCTAAGCAAAGTGCGCTTAGGTATCAAAAATAGCCCTGAATTTCAGCTATTTTTTGATACCAAAACGCATTTTTGAAAGTACGGGCGCCGTGAAAAGATGAAATACTAAAAACTTTTATGACTACGCGACTGTAAGAGGGGGTGGGGTACCATTACAGTATTTACGGTATGGAGTGATGGGAGTCTCATTCCAAAAAACAGATGCTATCTGCAAATTGATAAATGCGAATTTTAAGTCTGGGAGATAACGGACAAGTTTCCGGGTTAATGCTTAAGTTCTTTGCTAATTTTATAGCAATTTGCATAATTTTCTTTTTACTTATCTTAGTTTTACGTGCGATAAGTAAAGATAAGTAAAGATCAGTAAAGATAAGTAAAGATAAGTAAAGATAAGTAAAGATGAGTAAAGATAAGTAAAGATCAGTAAAGATGAGTAAAGATAAGTAAAGATCAGTAAAGATAAGTAAAGTAAAGCCATAAGATAAGTAAAACCACAGTATGCGATCATTTGAGCTGATACAAAATTTAAAAACATTCAAAAGCTTATTGCTCTTACATCCAGTTGTCGTCGAAACAGTGGTGAACGTTGTGGTGCTTGCCGTCGCTGAAAAGAGCTTTTTTGCAAGCTTTTTGAAACTTTAAACAAGCTTAGCTATAAAGCCTATCAATATAAAGCCGTAAAAAGGTTTTTCTTTGACATGCACAACAAAAAAAGCCCACTTGTAGTTGGTCCAGTGGTGGTTGAGCCAGTGAACGGGGTTCTAAAGCATTAGCAGTTCAGTAAAACATCAAAATTGCGCTGATTATAAGTTCTCAGTCAGATTTGATTAAAACTATTGTTTTTAGCAATTTGAGAAGCTCTCAAATAGTCTTTTTTTAAAAGAATTAACTACAAATTTAGTTCAATATTGGTTAAATTTATATATTAAAAGTAGTTTTTGAACAAATTCGTGTTAATACGGCCGTACGTGGATTTAAAACTTTTTTTGAAGCAGATTAGGCTGAAAATTTGCACCAGTAGGTTTTCGGGATCAAGGATTCGAATACGTTATTAGTTTTAAAAGAAAATTCCTCATTTTTGGATATTTCATTCGGTTTAATTAGCCAAGTTTTAGAAAGTTTTGTGATGACCGTATTGATTCGGAAATTAAAGTTTCACAAAAACTAAAAACGGATTCAGATTCTCCATCCCAGAATGCCACCAGTTACAACTTTTAGGTCTACAGCTAGCATAAATACCGTAAAAAGAAATAGAACGGTCCTCTAGGAGCGTCCGCGTAGTCAAAGTTTACTCCTTAAACAAACGCTCAGATCTCTCTGACACCAGTACGTTTTTTCTGGGCGCTTAAGTATCAAATTGAGGGTGAGCGAGTGGGTAAGTCTAAAAGAGATGAAGATGCACAGAAAGGATCGCAATATTTCTAGAAAAGATATAAGGATTTATAAGTTACAGAAGTACCGTAAAGATTCTAATAGAATAGAAGCGTCGCGTCTAAGTTGACACTCAAAAGCCGCTCATATCTCGGCACCAGTACGTTTGTTTCTACACGCTTAGGTATCAAATTAAAGTAGAGAGAATGGATGATTTTTTGAGATATAACACATATTTTTAGCGTTAACCAGCGCTTAGAAAAGAATGATTGAAAAGTGGAAAAAAAAAGCTGATTTTCTATTAGAGTATTTACGGTAGCTGTCGTCCGAAACAGCATTAAGCCAAAAAAAGACAAAAATTGCTTTGTCGTGAATGTGTTTAATCAAAGTTTAATCAAAATTATCATTTGGAAGTCCTAGTTTCAAAAGAATGGGTTTCAAAGTCAGTTTAATGACGCTAGGTCAACGGCTCATCGACGCTGTAACTCGGAACTCACGTTGTCGTCGTTGTCGTCGTACTTGTTGTGGTTCTGAAATCAGGAATCAAGAAAGCAATCAAGAATTTGTAGAATAAGAAATTAGATATTTAAAAAAAAACATACGGAACAGGCCAAAGGAAACAAAGCGGAGTGCCACCTATCATCGGATTGTACCCATCGGCCGCCGGCGCATCCATTCCATAGCCAACATTCACGTACTCGTCTTAGAGATTTTATGGTTTTTATTTGATTTTTATTTGATTTTATTTGATTGCTTGTAATTTGAACATTTGATTTCAATTTTCCGGACAAATTCTAAAGCTTTTCATTGCCCCACCAGCGTATTTCGTATTCTCATAGGCGTAGAGGGGAATCGTCGCTCCACACGCGCCATACGTTTGTACACAATTCAGTGTAGCCAAATTGACGAAACCCTAGAAAAAAGCGGAAAATCTCTTGAAATGGTTACTTTTTGTCAGTTAAAGAGAAAGAAATAGCTGTTAGAAGTTTGTTTTTGGGCTTAAAAGGATTAAAAGGATTAAAGCTTATTTAATTGAGCAAGCTGCTTAAATTGAAACATTGACTATTGCAGCAAGTGAACAAGTTTGGGATTTAGATTAAATTGATATCTTTTGTTTCGTTATTGAATTGGAAGATACTTTGCTGAAGTTTTGAATGTCTGAATGTTTTTGAGTTTATTTTAATGCTTACTGTAATGTTTTAGCTTATTCTAGTGCCTCACAATTGCACTGTAATGCACCAAAGTTACAGTATCCTTCTTGTTTGTTTTTTTGTTTGTTTGTTTGTTTGTTTGTTGTTTGTTGTTTGTTGTTTGTTGTTTGTTGTTTGTTTCTTTGTTTCTTTGTTGGTTTTTTTGGTTGTTTGTTGTTTGTTTCTTTGTTTCTTTGTTTGTTTCTTTGTTTGTTTGGCGGTTTCGTAGACCGGACTAAAGTCTATTTAACTAAATTTGTCTTGCCTGATAGTTCATGCTTGAGGCCCACGATGAAGGGATTGTGTAGATCTAAACTAAAAAAAATCCGGACTGGTTGAGGAACGAAAAGACTTTCTGGAGAGCCTAATATTTCAGCAATCAAATCCGATCCTTTTCCTTTCCATCACCAAACTTACTGTTATTTCCATTTTGATTGCCCATCACTTGCAATGTGATCAAACAGCCGGCAGCGATGCAAGTTGATGCACTCTAAAATTCGAGACATTAAATAACATACGACGTTTTCGTAAAAGCCATTCAATTTGTTGTTGAAACTTGAAGAATTGAAGGAAACAATTTGAACTTAAAAGATGTCAAGCTTGATTAGGAAGTTACCAAATAGTTGTCAAGTAGTTGTCAATACTTATCAAGTAGTTGTCAAGCATTTTTCTTGATCTTCAATCATCTTTAATCATCTTTTAATCAAAACAAGTTCTTATGTTCAAAAGCTTGTTTCAAATTAACAGCGTTAATCTCGATAATTGAACTAGAATGCATTCATTTCAGATAGAAAAATGCTCATTGCCAACATTCTAAAATGTAAACGCATCCTTTCTAGTGCACTAAATTCCCAGTTTTCTCGTTGCTATTGTAAGAAAAATGAAGAATTGAGTGCACCAGAAAGGGTGTGTTTACCGTGTGACCAAATCAAGTAGTTTTGGGATCAAATTTGTCGCAAAAACGCAAAAAAAAGGTAAAATTCTCCCCGTTGACGCGAACATTCCGTCGATTTGATAAATCGTTTTTGCTGTGCCATTGTCGAACGAAGTGGTTGACGGGAAGTGAATGTATTGGGCTAAAATTTAAGACTTAAGACTAACAACGCTTTTGCTTTTGCTTTTTAGCTATCTTTAGCTTAGCCAGCTTTAGTCAGCCAGCTTTAGTCAGCCAGCTTTCGTCAAGAGCTTCAGATCAAAGCTATTCAAAATTCGGTTCAGCTTAATTCGAAGCGAAATCAAACCAAAACTCATGTCTACTTATAGATTAGATGTTTCAAGTTGAAAGAAAAGAAGTATGGCAACTTTTCTTAACCACAGCTTTAGAGGGTTTCACTTGAAATTTTAGAATAGGCGAATTTTAAAAGAAAATAGATCGTATCCATTGAAAATTGCCATCTCCATTTAACGCGTTTCAACTTGAAACATTCAATTTTTGTAACCGTAACTAAAAAGACTTAAATTGCAGGTACAGCTTATAAAAATGGAGCAATAATCTGATTATGATTTGAAATATGATTTGAAAAGGGGATTGAGTTGCTTAAAGCTTAAAATTTTACAAAAAACTGTTTTTAGACTCACTTGTTAGCGGCGAGTTCATCGCCACTTCGATAGATCGGCACTTGGAGAGTCGCTGGAATGAATTTCAAATGAGATAAGTTTAGTGAATAATGCGTTAATCCAATGGAATCTTCTTGACTAGATGATGAATAATTGTTAATTATAAGTAAATTATGATGTGCTTTGTCAATTGATGCTGATTTGAAAGGTAATCGAAAGAGTAAAAAAAGTCATGTTTCAACTTTGCTAAAATAAAGTCACCACAATTAGGAATATAGGGATAAATTGGTCGCAATCGCTCGTGATTTTCAATCGCCATTGATTGAATCATCAACGGCTAGTCGATGATGATTGAAGTTTTTGAAACGAAACATTCGGAATTCAATCCAGATTTATCTTACATGCAAATAAAGAAGTTAAGCTGGCAGGAGCCAATGGGACATATATTTTAACATCTTAACTTCAGTAGCCAAATTGCTGGTTAGCCGCTAGTGATTGCCGGCTAGCCGCTAGTGATTGCCGGCTAGCCGCTAGTGATTGCCGGCTAGCCGCTAGTGATTGCCGGCTAGCCGTAGTGATTGCCGGCTAGCCGCTAGTGATTGCCGGCTAGCCGCTAGTGATTCTTTTGTTGTTAAGCTTGTTTACTTATTATATGTTTGCAATAAATTGTTGAAAAGTGAATAAACCTGGTAATTCATAAAGCCAAAAATATTAAGGAAAATTTATTTTCATTTAGATGACATAACTTTTCGAGGTCGGCTACTGAAGTTATCTCCCGAGGTGTTAAAATATTTGGTCCTATTAGCCTAACTTTTTATTTGCATGTGAGATAAATCTGCATCGTATTCCAAATGTTTTCGTTAAAAACTCAATCACTAGCGGCTAGCTAGGTGATTTAGTCACTAGTGGCTTGCTGGGTGATTGAATCACTAGTGGTTGGCTAGGTGATTCAATCACTAGTGGCTATCCGATGGTGATTGAATCACTAGTGGTTAGCTAGGTGATTCAATCACTAGTGGCTAGCTAGGCGGTTCAATAACTAGTGGCTATCCGATGGTGATTGAATCACTAGTGGTTAGCTAGGTCATTCAATCACTAGTGGCTATCCGATGGTGATTGAATCATAAGTGGTTAGCTAGGTGATTCCAATCACTAGTGGTTAGCTAGGTCATTCAATCACTAGTGGCTAGCCAGGTGATTCAATCACTAGTGGCTATCCGATGGTGATTGAATCACTAGTGGTTAGCTAGGTCATTCAATCACTAGTGGCTAGCTAGGCGGTTCAATAACTTAGTGGCTATCCCGATGGTGATTGAATCACTAGTGGTTAGCTAGGTCATTCAATCACTAGTGGCTAGCTAGGTGATTCAATCACTAGTGGCTATCCGATGGTGATTGAATCACTAGTGGTTAGCTAGGTCATTCAATCACTAGCTGCTGAAAATCACGAGCGGCTGCGACATATAGATAAACATTATCGCGTGTTAAAATGTATCTTACCTCCGATTTGGAAACCTTTCTAACAGAATAATGTTTTTTACATTAAAATCACCAAATTCCTAAATAAATTCTAGTTTTTGCATAAATTTCTTTAAAAATGAGAAGAAAGATGCATTTCTTTTGAAATATTTTGATAAACTATTGTTTGAAATTTGATTAATAAATGAAAGAGCGAAATTTCGATGGTTTTAAGGTACTAAAGTGCTGAACAAAGCTAAAACTTTGTTTGATTTTAGATTTGATTGAAAAATTTATTAAAATTCTTCTTAAAATGTCTTTTCTAGGAAAAGTGGTTTCGATAAAGATAAAGGGTTTCAATCAGAGATCGATTGAATCGGAGGTACAGATATGAAAATCTACGTAGATTCTTTGGCTTTCTCCAGGGTATTTTCTCCTTACGTGGACTCGTATCGGGACACGTATCCGCCCGGGTTCGACGCGCGAACATCACGCAAAACAATGGCGGCTGTCGAAAAAAAGGAAACCCATCTGAACAAAATAGGGTTACTGTAGAGAAAATTGGTTTTAAAAGAAATTAGGGAAAAGAAAGAAAAGAGATTGATAGGAGAAAAGTAAAGAAAAGAGAAAAGTAAAAGAGAGTAAGCTTTAGGAAAAAGAAAACAAAGCTTTTCTGAAAATCCTAATCGAAATTTAAAAATCAATTTCAATACTTTAAAACATTATTTTTGCAATAATTTTCCATTGAGACCAAAAATGGGTTTCTTGAAGAAAGTGCTCAAACTGACAATAGTCCGCAGTTTTTAATTCACCAACCCAACAGATCGAGATCAGCCTTGATTTGCGGAGAAGTCAATGTCCAATTTGAGGATTCGGAGCCGGCCAGGTTCGTTTAGCAAAGGCAGAGGGAAGGACGTTATGTTAAAGCTCCTACGCCAGACGACGAGCGATTACGCGGCCGCACAAGGAACACACGGAACATACAAATTTTAAGCGGAACTTGCATTAAACTTGCATTTTAAGCGGAACTACTAAGTGTATCTTTTGGAAATTTGGGTATAAGCTTGATTTTTGATTCTCTACAACTTTTCCATTGACACCAAAATGGGTTTCTTTTGAAGAAAGTGCTCAAACTGTCACATATGAGAATAGCCGGCAGTTTTCAATTCATCAACCCGATAGATTGAGATTAGCCTTGATTTGCGGAGAAGTCAATGTCGAATTTGAAGATTCGGAAACGGCCGGAAGAGATTGGACAGCAGAGAAGGCAGGGGGTTATGTTAAAACCCTGCGCCAGACGACGAGCGATTACGCGGCCGCACAAAGAACACACAGAACACAAATTTTAAGCGGAACTTGCATTAAAACTTGCATTTTAAGCGGAACTACTAAGTGTATCTTTTTGGAAATTTGGGTATAAGCTTGATTTTTGGTTCTCTACAACTTTTCCATTGACACCAAAATGGGTTTCTTTTGAAGAAAGTGCTCAAACTGGTCACATATGACAATAGCCGGCAGTTTTCAATTCACCAACCCAATAGTAAGCTTTTAGGAAAAAGAAACCAAAGCTTTTCTGGAAATTCTAATCGAAATTTCAATTTCAATACTTTAAAACATTATTTTTTGCAATAAAACTAGCAATGAAATGCGTAGAAATTTCGAATATTTTTTCAAGATTTCAATATAAAACTTTTTTACTGCAAGCTGCTTCAATTTAAAAAATATTTTTTTCCAATCAAAAATTCTTAACAATTAGATCCAATGATCGCCGTGAAAAAGTTTTAAGAAACAATGAGAATAGATAATTGTCAAATAACAGCTAAAAAAATAGTTCTCTTGGTGAAGAAAACTAATGTAGATGTTTGTGAAAGAATTCTCTTTTCTTTTGTCCAAATCTCCATGGTGTTCGACGAATTTTTGACCGAGCTTTTCGTGAATTTTGATTCGAAAGCACCGATGACTTACTTTAAAATGCCTTTTTTAATTTTTAGCAAAACTTTGAAACAAAGCGTTTTTCTGATCGCGGGCTTTTCACAATTTTAAGCAATTTTCAATGACGCGGAAGTGGTGAAAGACGAAATTTGATCAGATTTGAGAAAATTGTGCAAATGTTTGTGATGTTTATTAGTGATGACACAGACGACACTTTATCTCACTAAAATTGCAACATTCATCTAGAGAAACCATCTCAATCACATCAATCAATCAAATCAATCAAATCAATCAAGTCAATCAATCAAATCAATCAAATCAATTAAATCA